GAAGCTGGTGGGGGTGGGGGGCAGGGGACATATGAGAACTCACTGTGCTTTCTGCTCATCTTGACTGTGAACTCAAAACTACTCTAAGATATAGTCTATATTTTTTTAAGGGAGAGAAAGATTTGTTAGCTAGTTTATAGTTATCTTTAGAATAAAAGCAAGAAACAATGGATGAGGAGTGGTGCTAGGGGGACAACTAGATGGCTGGGAGGAAGACTTTTCACTGTTCAACTTTTTAGTTCCCTCTTCAGAATTTTAATCCATGATCCTGTATTATCAAGTTAAAAATACTAGTGAAATTTTAAAAATAAGATTAAAATATACCCTCTGAAAAGCCTAAGGTAATAATTTAAAATGATAAAAACAATATTTCCAAAGATGTTTCATTGTTGAGTTAATAATATTAGCTAACAGGCACATACCATGTTACAGGTACTGCACTGAATAGATTAGCTGATTTATAAGAAAAAAATGGTATTAATGTAAATATCATACAGTACTGGAATGGGTCAATAAATTAGGAGCAATGAATGTTAGGCAACCATTAAAATGAAGTTTATAGAGAGTCTGTAATATATTGCTAAGTCATTATGTTAAACCAAAAAGCAGGAATATGGTACTCTAATATAGTACAACTATAATTATTTTTAAAATGGAAGAAAGAAAATCTATGCAGAGAAGGCTAGAATAAACACACTAAAGGGACTATATTTGAATGGGGAAAGCATGTAATTTTTTTCATTCTTCCAAATGTATAGATGTGCAAGGGGGGGGGCCAAAAACCCAGAATTTATTTTTTTAAATTGTGTATTTATTCTTGCATGTTTAAACTTAGTCACCTTCAAAATACTCTCCATTTGATGCAGTACACCTATTGAGATGCTTTTTCCACTGCTCAAGTTTCTGAGCCGGGCTCGGTGGCTCAGCCTGTAATCCCGCGCCTTTGGGAGGCTGAGGTGAGTGGATTGCCTGAGCCCGCGGGTTCGAGACCTGCCTGGGCAGCAGACCTCATCTCTACAATAAATCAAAAAATTAGCCGGGCGTGGTAGCGCGTGCCTGTAATTCCGGCTACTTGGAAGGCTGAGGTGGAAGGATCACCGGAGCCCAGCAGGTCGAGGCTGCGGTGGCCGGGAGTGGCCACTGCACTCCAGTCTGGGCAACAGAGTGAGACTCCAACTCAAAATAAAAAAAAAAAGTTTCTGAACTTGTCAATTTTGACACCTTTTAATGCTTCAGCCGTTTTTCTTTTGCCTCTTCCACATCAGCAAAACATTTCCCTGAGACTTTTTTCATCCGGGGAAACAAGAAGAAAGTAGCTCAGGGAGATATTGGGTGAATAAGGAGGGTGGAGCACAGGGGTCATGCCATTTTGGGTCAAAAACTGCTTAACAGCGCCGTGTGGGCAGGTGTGCTCGTAAATCACCAATCATGAAATTGGCAAACACTTGAAAGAATCTCCAAAAAAAATTCACTGAAGCCAAATGCAGTGTCTCACAACAATGTTAGCAGGTACACCGATGCCAAAGGGTTTCTAGAACTCTTACCTAGAGGGGTAAGCATGTACTACAAGGCAAGGATCCTGCCTCCCAAAAAGTAATTCTGGTTTTTTTGGGGTCTCATATTTCTTTTTTCTTTTTTTGAGATGGAGTCTCCCTCTGTCGCCCAGGCTGGAGTACAGTGGCATGCTCATGGTCACCACAGCCTTGACCTGCTGGGTTCAGGCAATCCTTCCACTTCAGCCTTTCAAACAACTGGAACTACAGGCACACACCACCACACCTAGCTAATTTTTTTATTTATTGTAGAGACAAGGTCTCATTCAAGTTGCTCAGACTGGTCTCGAGCCCCTGGACTCAGGCAGTCCTCTCACCTCAGCCTCCCAAAGTGCTGGGATTACAGGTTTGAGCCACTGTGCCCAGCTTTCCCTCTTGTATTTCAATGAGCACACATTGAGTTGAAATAAAGACACCTTTTTATTTATTTATTTAGAGTTGGAGTCTCACTCCATCATCCAGGCTGGGGTGCGGTGGCACACTCAAAGCCACCCCAGCATTGACCTGCGAGGCTCTGGTGGTCCTCCCGCCTCAGCCTTCCAAGCAGCAGGAACTACAGGCGTGCGTTACCATGCCTGGCTATTTATTTATTTACTGTGGAGACAAGGTATCACCATGTTGCCCAGGCTGGTCTCGAACCTGTGGGCTAAAGCAATCCTCTCACCTCAGCCTCCCAAAGGGCTGGGATTACAGGCTTGAGCCACTGTGCCAGGCCAACCTTTTATTTTTTTTTTAATGGTTTTAATAAATTTGGCATCTTACACTTTAATAGAAAGGTTCAGCAATGGAAAATTGCCTGTATGTGACTTTGGTACTATAAAAGGACTACACTTGAAGTAAGATCTAGATTTGAGATTCAACTCTGACATAACCTGTTTGACTTTTAGCAAGTCAAATATCTTTTCTTTTTCCTTGACTCTGGAATGTGAATAACTCCTACCTTTCTTGCAAGGGCGCTTTTAGCATTAGAGGTTCTTGTTCATATTAAAGAGCTGAGCATTGCATAAAGCACCATCAAAAGTATGTTATTTCTCTGCTTTATAGCTTTAACATGCAATTCTTTGTTTTGAGGCACCCAACCCACAAACAGCCCCAAGACACTGTTCTTATTTTCCTTTGACAGGCGACTAGTTGTTCAGTGGCATCACTTGCTGACATCTGAGATCTTACAATGTCTCCTGCCTTCCTCCTTCCCTCAAGAGACTACCCATGATGCTGATATCCCAGAATTCAAAACAAGCATAGCCACATCCTTATCAACATGCTTATATTCTCCTCTATATTCCACCCCTCTCTACTGTCATGTGCCTTCTAACCACTACTTCCCTACCTCCACCCCCACACAAGTCCACAACACAAGGTTTTATTTAGTTAGTGTGAGTAAGGCTTTCCTTTTCATGAAAAAAGAAAAACCTAGAGCTTGAAATCAAATTAGAGTCAATAATGGGAGGTATCAAAAACCTAAAGAAAGATCTTGAGGGTATTCAGAAGTACACTTCATAACATCCATTCAAATCTCAATCATTTATTTTTTCTCTGATTAAATCTGATTTCTCAAAGATAAATGAATCTTAAATTATATTCTCGAGCCGGGCTCGGTGGCTCAGCCTGTAATCCGCGCCTTTGGGAGGCTGAGGGAGTGGATTGCCTGAGCCCGTGGGTTCGAGACCTGCCTGGGCAGTGAGACCTCATCTCTACAATAAATCAAAAAATCAGCCGGGCGTGGTAGTGCATGCCTGTAATTCTGGCTACTTGGAAGGCTGAGGCGGAAGGATCGCCAGAGCCCAGCAGGTTGAGGCTGCGGTGGCCGGGAGCGGCCACTGCACTCCAGTCTGGGCGACAGACTGAGACTCCAACTCAAAAAAAAAAAAAAAAAAAATTATATTCTCCTAGAATACAATTATCTCTTGTATCTCTCGTTGTCTCTTTCAACCTAGACGTAGTAGTTTAAATTGATTTCTGTAGATTAAACATGAAATCATAGCCCAATTACAAGAATGTTTTTATTTTTTTGAGTTGGAGTTTCACTCCATTGCCCAGGCTGTAGTGCAGTGGCATGCTCACAGCCACCCCAGTGTCGACCTGCTGGGCTCTGGTGATCCTTCCACCTCAGCCTTCCATCAAGATTGTTCCTAAGAAAAAATACATTATGAGAACCAAAAACCTAATGCTGATTTTTAATAGCTCCATTTATATACTGTTATAAACTTCTAGAACGGTGAACTAATGGCAGTTAACTGTCATATACAACTCATTTTTTTCTCAAGACAACCCTAGGAAATATCCCCATTATTCTCTGGAGGGATGGGGAAACAGTTCTGGAGAGGGATAAAGTCATGCACACATTGAGTGGCAGAGAAGGCATTAAACTCCAGACCAGGACACATTAGGGCACAATGCCTCTTGTTCAAGACAGAAAATATTCACCCCAGCTGCAGAATGAATCTTAAACTAACAAGAATTTCGGGGGAAAAAGTTGTTTTCAAGCAAATCTTTCTACTCTTGTTATATTTCATGTTTTACTCTCCAGCATGAAGCCTCTGATGTCGAGTAAGTGCTGAACTGTGCCTAAAGGATTTTCCACATCCAACACATTCATAAGGTTTTTCTCCAGTATGAATTCTGTAATGCTCGCTAAGGTGTGCCTGCTTGCGGAAAGTTTTTTCACATTCACTACACTTATAAAGTTTCTCTCCAGTGTGAGTTCGTTCATGTTCAACAAGGGAAGAGTTCTGAGTGAAAGCTTTACCACATTGAGTACAGGTGTAGGGCTTCTCTCCTGAATGAATCCTATGATGCTGCATGAGGTATGCACTCTGATTGAAGGCTTTCCCACATTCATTACACTTAAAAGGTTTATCTCCAGAATGACTTCTCTGATGACGAGTGAGGCATATGCTCTGACTGAAGGCTTTGCCACATTCTGTGCATTTATAAGGTTTCTCTCCAGTATGAATTCGCTGGTGTTTAATAAGGGATGGGCTCTGACAAAAGGTTTTTCCACATTCACTACATTTATAAGGTTTCTCTCCAGTATGAATTCTCAGGTGCTGGACAAGAATTGCTTTTGTCTGAAAGGCTTTCTCACAATCATTACATTTATAAGGTTTCTCTCCTGTATGAATTCTCAGGTGTTGAGTAAGATTTGACTGTTTACGGAAACAAGTTCCACATTCATTGCACACATAGGGCTTCTCTCCTCTGTGAATCCTCTGATGCTCTTTAAGAGATGATCTTTGAGTAAAGAATTTTCCACATTCACCACACTCTGAAGGTTTTTTCTGCATGTTAACCCTCCAGTGTTTCCTTTAGAGTAAAATCTGGCTGGAACTCATACTGCCTGTAACACATTGAAGAGGCTTCTGTCTAACAGGTTCGGGTTTAGATGAAATCTCTCAAATTCATTCTTAACAAGGTATTTTCTCAAAGATGATTACCTATCACTGTTCTCCTGGGAAAGGTTCCTCTTTGTGTGTGCTCACACATTTGTATGTGCTATCCTCTCAATCATTCTTGCAGGATTTTCCATCCTCTTCCTGGTTCAGCATGCATTTTAAACGTCTCCAAAAGTGAAGCCCAATGACCAGCCTCTCTGAAGAAAGAGATTAAGTAGTGCTAGATCTTAGGAATTCTATAAAATTTCCTATCATGATTTATTCTGAAACAATCAAATACTAAAAACTAACCCAGGTAACTTGGGATCACCCAGATTTGCATCTATAATGATAAATAATAGGAAAATATGAAAGGAATAAGTACCTTAGTCTTGGGTAAATTAAGTGTTGGGGAAATTTATTTTCCACTTATAGTCTCTACTTCTCAAATAATAGGTAAATAATAATTATATTTCCTTAGGTTTCCTGTAAGCAATATCTTGACAGACAAATGATAACCAGAGTCTCCCTTCCAAGATTTCAATGGTGATTAAGGCTTTCACTAGGCCTGTCTCACCTATGGAATAAGTGAATCCTTCCTTATTCAGTTACCTTGATAGTTGTCTCTTTGAACCTCCCTGTCTCTTCAAAGTATTAAGCATTTATAGCCCTCTCCCTAGGTCCAACCAAGTATTCTGTAGGTTTAAAAACTAGAGTCTTGCTTACTGAAAAAAAAAAATCACTGTCTTGATTCAGAAAAATAAGATAGAGATGGCTCTTAGAGAAAAAGCTTTCACTGGACAGTAAATTACTACAGCATCACAGGATCTGGCCCTCACCTTTTCAGTCTAAGAAATGCTTCAGAATCTGAAGTATACTAATTCCATTTATGAGGGGAATGACATAAAAACAAAGTCACTTTACTAATTTACAATGAATAATTTTTGTGCCCAACATCAAGCTAGCTTTAACACAACCTCTTGATTATGGAACCAAATCACTATCATCAGGATACTCCTTGTAAAGCAAAGAAATGCAGAAAGAGGGGAATACTCAAATTATCATAATGGCCTCAAACTTTGAAACCCTGATGCCCTAAGTCAGGGGATACAGAATCAGAGAATGAATATTCAGGTGCTGCATATCAAAACAACCTCTTCTCTGAATAGTGCTAGAGACACTGACACATACTTAGTCAGAAGACTCTCTTTATCTTAGTTTTCTCATCATACAAACTACAAATGAATACATCCTCAATTAAAAATATTTAGACAATATAGAGGTATACATGATAATAGTAATTTTATAGTCATCATCATCCCACCCTACCCAAACAAACCCACTCTCTTCAAGATTATAAAGTTGGAGTATATTCTTAGTCTTTTTTTCATGTATTCTTCTGTACACATATAGCATTTAATCCTCTTTACATAAATAAAATTGTTCTAAAGGCACTGCTCTGCAATTAGTGCTTTTTTTCCCACTATAGAATGTGTTTTAGAGATAATTTCATATTGGTACATATGGGTCTACGGTGGCTGAGAGTGTGCTAGTACACACTGGTATATCTGCACAGATGATTTATGGCCAGAGACTGATCTGATCAGGGAATGCCTGTAGCACACTGTTGGTTAAATATATTGACTATATTTCTTAGACTTATCTGTCTGCTGTATTAACTTCCAGAATGGATATACTATATACAAAAACAAACTCTATATAGTTTAAACATCTAAATGTAAACCAAAACTCTACATTTTTATTTCCTTTATTCTTATTCTCCCAAACTAAAAATGTTTTCTTAATCATAGAAATAATTTATGGTCTTTCTACTAAATGGTCAGTTAGTCCAAAACTGAAAACACTTGAAATCCTACCATCTAAAAAAAAAAACAGCTAATATTCTGATGAACCTTCTTTTAGGTATCTCTCAATGCATACACACATTGAAAATTAGAGTCCACCGGGCTCGGTGGCTCAGCCTGTAATCCCCTGCCTTTGGGAGGCTGAGGTGAGTGGATTGCCTGAGCCCGTGGGTTCCT